TGTTTTTACCCATTTGAATGAGGAAAACAAAAGTTGCTATTAGGGCAGATAGATCCAGGACTCTGTTGAATACACAGTCACATACTAACGGACTTCTACCTATCCTAAGTACAAAAGCAAAGAGGAATGAGAAAATGAAACTAAATCTCATCTTTACTAAGCATAAACAAAATATAATTTCCAAGGAATGTATAAATACAGATATGAATCAGACCTTTCTGAGATGTGAAAAATAAAGCCGAGTAAGAACAAGCCACTACTTCCATTAGTATGTACTGACTTGGAAGTTTTCCATTCAAATATTATTTTGTCCACTGTCATAATATGTACAAAAAATTGGCAACATAACAGTATGTGTAGAATAACTTTCTCAACATTCTCTTATCCTTGACCTAAACATAGTGTTGAGGTCCTGAAAGAAACCAATCAGTTTATGCAAACATCCAGTGGGAAGCTCATGGCCTTCTATCCTAGATACAAGCTTCCATGGGGTAACTGTGTAGCCCAACATCACCATCTAATTCTGGTGAACGTTTTGACAAAGCCATTAAAAGGCAACTATGTCAGTAAATGTGTTTCTTCAACATGACACGGTTCACTTAAGCAACTCACTGACTTGGGGATTACAGGTCATTTGCAAAAATCTACAGAATTATCTTTCAGTAACAGTTGAGACTGATATACAACATAGGTATTCTTGTTTTTATTCTTGTCTTAGATGACTGGATTTTCAGAAATAATCATGCTTCGGTATCAAAACCAGAGCCAAACTTACGCAGTTGACTGACAGAAAAGCCGAATTGTAGTTCAACCTGACTCAGCATCCTAAACTATAAATGTCTCTGAGGGAGGCAATTCAAAATGGAAAGAATGTGACCTTATTTGTAATACCCTCAAGACACTAACTACTGTTTAGCTCTGTGTAAGTCCCTAACCCCAGTATCAGCAATGAACTGGTTGCTTTTTCTAGTCATACCTGGACTTTTTGACATTCCAAAGATGCTATGAGGCAGATTTAATAAGAAACTGATAGCAACAACCTTAAGTCAATAAAATTCATATCAGGCCACTGATACCACTTCACCACTTTGTATCAGACTACTTACACACTACATGAATTATATGAGGTCATGCTAAAAAGAAGGAGAGGCATCGATTAACATTTCAGATGCTCCCTGACTAAAGCAAATCTTACACATGGTACTCATATGAAAGCATGTTCATGTGGACCATACTAAAACTGACACATAATAGACTACTCAGCATCTAAGGGGTTATAGGAGGCATGCATGGCTATCTAGACAGCTACGATACTTTATTCATATCACATAATGTAGTCAAAGCATCCTTAAATACTCTAAGCAAACATAAACAATGCTTTTCTAATATTAAGCTTTTACCTATTATTTTATCCTTTTTTTTGGAGACACGGCTCTCACTATGAAGTTCAGGCTGACCTTGAACTCACTATTTATCCTAGGCTATCCTCAAACAGCAATCCTCATGCCTCAGTTTCCCAAGTGCTGGGATTACAGGCATGCCCCACCATGCCTAGCTTTTACCTATAACTTTAAAATTAAGAAATAAGGAAACAAGCCGGGCATGGTGGCACATGCCTATAATCCCAACACTCGGGAGGGTGAGGCAGGAGGATCGCTGTGAGTTTAAGACCAGCCTGGGCTACACAGTGAGTTCCAGGTCAGTCTCACTACATAGTGAGACCCTGTCTCAAAAAAAACCAAAAAAATAAAAAATAAAAATAAGGAAACAGAGTATAATGCCAGCACTTGGGAACCTGAGCTACATAGTAAATTTAAATCCAGCCTAGATTACATAGTGGGATTGTAGCTCAAAAAAAAAAAACCGAGCTTCTAAAAAGTGAATATATTATTGGTTGTTGTCCAGACTTTGTTTTCACTGTGGTACAATGTTTCTCCAAATGGAGAAACTCTGACAGCACCATATAGGGTGAAAGATTAGAAGTTTGCTCCAGTCCTTGAGGCAAATTACTAGGCAATTTATGCTAACTTCTGGGGAAGATGAAGGCACCTCTTCACTGGAGCAGCCTGATTTCCTTGATCCCTTCTCCAGGATCAAAGACCACAGAAATCATCACTTGGCTCAGCAAAGCATGCCATCAACATTCCTACTTCTAGAAAACAGAGATTGGAATGCTGGGCACAAAACCATCAATCAGGAAGCCAAGGTAAGCAAAGAAAGGGGAATGAGATGAGAACATAAGCTGGGGGAATTGAAATGCTACCATCTCCCTATGACATCTGTAAAAGACAGTAAGACCAAGTAATCCTAAAAACTAAAATGGCTCTTACGAGCTACCACCATTAATGCAGACAATGAGGAAGCGGGGACAGCTGGCCACTGTCAGAGAAGAAAAGAGGAAACACGTTTAGCATAATATCAGATCAGAAAGGAGCACCATCCGAACTTTCATCTCTGATCCATTTGTCACTGCTAGCTGGTCCTAAACTTAATCATATCAACTTTGTGATTTTCAAATCTCTGAGATGACGTGAAAATAACTGATATTTGAAAAGAAATTAATGATATACAAGCCTACAAATACTATTATGCTTATTGAGTCTTGTTTTGTATTTTAAAGAAAAATGTGAAGATGTCAAAACAGAAAAAAGGGCAAATCCAGCTTCCTGGTTCACATCTTCAACCTTCCACTTACTCTTCTTCCTTGTTCTCCTCCACCACCTCCTCTGTCCTTTTCATCCAAACCCAAATACTCTTTTCTCCAAAGAGCTCAGCATATTGGAAAGAAAGTTTGGGCACTATCTATGCAGGTAAGAAGTAATCAAAATGACAAGGTAGGGGTAAAAAGAACAGCAGCAAGTCAGGATCCCATTGGCTCTGCCTGTCCTGACTGGCAAAAGCAGAAAGCAAAGCCTCAAACCAGTTCTCTGACAGGGCCCAATGCCTCTGCAGCACCCCCCGTGTAATTACACACTTGAGTGACTGGACTCTGAAGAAAATTGAAGGCCTGAGCTCCGAACAGCTGCCATTTTCTCTCTCCATCACACCAGCGTGATTACTTGAGAAATGAACAGCCCCGGCTCAAAGCTACTCCAGAATTCTCAGAGGAAATATGGCTCCGTGTTCCAATAATGAGATTCTTAAGGCAAGCGTTACTTACAATCACTCCGCAAAAGGAGTGAGCTGAGCCCCTATATCTTACAAATTAGAATTTAAGAAACCTAGCGACAGTCCTGGACGATCATTACTCTTCTGCTACTCCAAGGATTCTGGGCTTAGGTCTATTTTTAGTGCAGAAAACTGTTAAGTTCTTAAAAAGGTAATCATTATAAGATGAAAAATGTACCATAATTAGCTCCCTAAAAAGCAAATTCCACCCCATTCTAGGTCCAGACTGACAGATTGTCTCTTTTCTCTCATCATTACCCCTTTCAACCAGAAGTTGTGGCTTTATCCAAATAGAATTAGCAATCCCTGAATTAAAATTTGCAAAGGGCAGGGGGGTGTCAGAGATTTCTTCCCTCTTTGATTAAGAAAGAAAAAATAACTGAATTTCCATAGATTGTGTACTTGCTTTGCTGAAAGCAGTCACCTGGGGAGGCTGAAATATTCCCTAGTACCCATATACTGTATTTATCCCTTTCTCAAATGTATCTCCTATTTCCTTACCACCTAGTCATTCTGGGAAAGGTAATGAACTCTCCCTATAATTACATATTTTTAAAAGTGGCTAGTCTGAAAAGTATTGTATCCTTTAGAGTTAACTAGCTAGGCAGATCACTGAATGAGTGGTAATGCTGTTAACCAGGATGAAATAAAAAATGGTAGTGAAGCTTTACGGTGGCTTTTCTCCTCTAAGAAGAAATGATGGAATTAAAGTACCACAAAGGGACAAGAAAAGAAACTGAAAGAGTAAAAAGGTACTATTGCCTTCCCAAAACATAAATATGCAACAGCAAGACAAATGCTCAGGATTATAGCATTCTAAATTTTGTTCCATTGTTCTTGGATTCCTAGAATTAACTAAACAAAAAGATCAAGGAGTGAAAGACTTGCAAATCATCTTTAAAAATCCTCAAGTACATAAAACTCCTGCCCCTTTCCCAGTCAAATGCACATTAGTCCTATTCACATTTACAAATCACATCCCTTATTCCCACTTTCTACTAATTCTTTATTACAAGGTTGTGGGGGCAAAATAATACATCTAATGTTAATATAGTAAACAGCTTAGATCTTAATGTAAATAAAACAAAAAAGGGGTCAAAGAATTGTAGAATACACTTACATTTCTTTGGTGGGAAGGGACAATACCAAATTTCTAATGGACTTTAAAAAAAACACGAGTCATTACTTATATTTATGGGACAAACAAGAATTAAGATGAAAGACTATAATGGTTATAGAAAACTTCTTAAAGCTACTGTCATGATGACAACAAGAAAGAGGGATTTCTGAACAGAGTCAAGAGATTTGAGTTCCTGTGTACACTATATGCCTCAGAGTCAAAACAATCCTTTTCTTTTTTTTTTTTTTTTCCCGGTACCAGGGATCAAATTCAGGATCTTGTGCTTCTGAGGCAGGCACGGTGCCACTGAGCTAAATCCGCAGCCCTGAACCAACCCTTTTCTTATTAATTTTTTATTTTTTTGGTACCAGAGATCGAACTCAGGACCTGCAGTTGCGAGGCAGGTGCCAACCCTTTTCTAACTGTAGTAGGTTCCTTCAGATAAAGGATAAAGGTAGATGTGAGAAACTGTTAGACCACAACCCAATCATCATTCATTACATAATTATAAAGGACAGTAACTTTTCCTCTGATCATAGCTACCAGAAGTTTAAAAATCACATTTTGCATATCATCAACTATTCTTACAGGTTCTGAAAAATGATACTCACAATAAGCATTGTGACCAGAAGATTCTTTTTGGTGACTTGAGCATGAGAAAAGATGTAGTTCAGTACAGTGTTCATGTCACTTTTGTTCTCTTCCCGAAGGGCAAACACACATTTGTCATAGTGACCTGCAAGCAGCAAAAAGAACTGATCTTCATGAAGGCTGATAGTAACATGGTATTTGTTGGTTTCTTAATGTTTGAGATTCACCTGACAGGCAGTGAGAAAAAACATCTTAAGAATTTTCTTGGATGGAGTTTTACAGAAATGGCACTTGGGTTAATAAAGGGACACTAGACTAAGAGTCATATAATTAATTCTGCATATAAAACTTGTGGTGGTGCATGCCTGTACTCCCAGTACTCTGGAGGACCAGGCAGGAGAATACTAAGTTGGAGCCCAGCTAGGTAGCACAGTAACTTAGTGAGACCCTGTCCCAAAAAAAAAACTAATAAAAAGGGCTAAGGGGGTAGCTCAATGCTAAGGTCCTGAGTTTATTCCCCAGCACTTCAAAATAAAATTAAATTAAAATTTTAAAAATAAAATACAAAAGCTGGGCATGGTGGCGCATGCCTGTAATCCCAGCACTTGGGAGGCTGAGTTCGAGACCAGCCTGGGCTACACAGTGAGTTCCAGGTCAGTCTCAACTACATAGTAAGACCCTGTCTCAAACAAAATAAAACAAAACAAAAAATAAAATACAAGTCCTAGCTCTGTTACAAACTTCCTTTGTGCTCTTGAGCAAATCATTTGATCTCTCCAGGCCTCAATTTTATTATACAAAATAAATTGGAAGCCATGCCTGTTGGCACAGTCCTGTCATCCCAGTACTACAGAGGCTGAGGCAGAACTCACCATGAGTTCAGGGCCAATCCAGATTACATAGTTAGTTCAAGGCCAGCCTAAATTACACAGTGAGACCGTCTCAAAAAACCAAATAAAATAAAATAAAATGAGTGGAGAGGGATGTGCCTTAAAGACTGAGGGTTTGGGAAAAACTCCAAGCCCATACTCAATCTAATCTCTCTCATTTAGCTTCCAAATACGATTTTCTTAGAAAAGAAGATTCACTACTTAAAGCAACATGTCAATACCACTAAATTTGATCTTTAAGGTCTATTCCAGCTTGATGTTCTGCTTCTATTTTGATATACTGAAAACTAACTACTAATAATAGTTTAGCTTGGGCTGGGGATTTAGCTCAGTCGTGCTTCCACTTGCCTCGCAAGCACAAGGTCCTGAGTTCGATCCCTGGTACCAAAAAAAGAATAGTTTTAGCTCAAGTTTGGCAATAAGGCCACGAGAGGCAAGTTGGTTCTCGGTAGAAAGCTACATTGCAGGCCAGGGATTTAGCTCAGTGGTTCTACCCCCTGCTTCACAAACGTAAGGACTCGAGTTTGATCCCCAGTACCAAAGAAAGAAAGAAAGTTATGTTGCAACACAAACATAAGCTTTGGTATATTGTAGGGACATGTATAAAAGGATATAAGAAACATTCAGTTATGAATGGTATATTTTCTAAGAAAACACCTTACCTCAGAAATAAAGAAAAATTAGTGTTTGATAGTCTCAAGGGTCAGAATTTTAGGAAATTATGAAAATACTAAAAGATAATCACCTCAGTTCAGATTCCATGTTAAATTACAAATAAGAATAGTGATGTTCAAACTGCATTTACCATGATTTCCTAGAATACTGACATTGGACCAAAGCAACTTTCATTTAGCTATTTTAAATACCAGAGACTGACACATATTTTTTTTCAAAGTGAAACTAAAATATGCCAGGCACAGGCACACATCTGTAGTCCCAACACTTAGGAGACAATGAGAAAGGAGGACTACTGTGAGTTCAAGGCTAGCCCGGACTACAGAGTGAGTTCAAGACCAGGCTGAACTACATAATGAGACTCAGTCTCAAAACAAACAAACAAATTAAGCTAAAATATATTTGAAAAGCAGCAGACAACAGTATCTGTTGAGCTGTAAATTTCATATAAGACCCAGTCAGGGCAAAATGGAAACTGTTTAAAAACCGGTTGTTCTTGGGGAAGGTAGCTCAGTGGTAGAACACTTGCCTAGCATGTGCAAGACCCTGGGATCCATTTCTAGAACTGCAGGGAAAAACCTGATTGCCCTTTACAATTTCTTTTTGTTTTGTTTTTTTCTTTGTTTGTTTTGAGACAGGGTCTCACTATGTAGTTTGGATTGACCTGTAACCCACTACGTAGCCCAGGCTGGTCTCAAATGCACAGCGATCCTCCTGCCTCAGCCTCCCGAATGCTGGGATTACAGGCGTGTGCCACCACACCTGGCTGCCCTTTATAATTTCTTATGTTCCCCTGGAAAGACTGTTTTGAAGTGATAATAGAAACATATTTTGTAATATTAATTATTAGGAATAGGGAAAACAAAGAATATACTTATCTGGGGTGGGAGGAAACACTAACAGAAAGCAAGCATTGATGGTAACTGTCCCCTCCCCCTTTTTTGACTTGCTCCCTTTTTAAAAACTATAAATTGTAATATATATATACACAGAATACAGAAAATATATTGTAATGTTTGAAATACTCATGTCATTTCAAAGCTACTAAATTTTAATAGAATATCTTTAGCATGTTTGAATAATCTGTTCATCACAATTACTAAGCTGAATTTCATATTAATCATTCTTTTGCTTTTCTTTTAATATGCCACCAGTATATGTATAATTTAATTGTTCCTGTTTTAGAACTTGATAAAAGATGAAATCACAAGCCAGACACGGTGGCACACACCTGTAATCCCAGAACTCTAGAAGGCTGGGGCTGGAGGACTGAAAATTTGAGCCTATCCTGGGCAATTTCATGGCAACCCTGTCTCAAAATAAAAAAATAAAAGAGTTGGGGATATAGCATAGGCCCTGGGAACCAAAATAAATACATGAATGAATAAATGCATGAATGAATGAATGAATGAATCAATGAATGGTATATTTTCTAAGTTGCTTTTCTGAAGCAACAACTCTGTTGTAAAGAAATATAATTGAATTTTATAAGATGACATTTGTATCCAGCAAACTTGTTAGAATTTAAATATTTAATAATAAATTGAGGGTTTTTCTGAGGCTTCCAAGAAGATACCATATAAAATCTATTAACAGAAGATCCTTACTCCTTTTGAGTCCTTGAACCTTTTAAATTCTTTTCTTGTCTTACCACCCTGGTGAGGACATCCACTACAGAAGTAGCGGTAGCCAGTGTCTTTGTCTTACTCTTAATCTTTTTTATTTTTTGGTTCCAGGGATCAAACCTTGTGCTTGCCTGGTAGATGCAGCACCACTGAGCTACATCCCTGGCCCCCTTACTCGTAATCTTAGAGAATGCTTTCAACATTTAACCGCTATATATGATGTATCCTGTAGATTTTTTGTGGGTTCCTTTACAAGATAAAAAAAAGTTCTACTTGGGCAGGGGATTTAGCTCAGCAGTTCCACCAACTGCCTGGCAAGTGCAAGGACCTGAGTTCGATCTCCAGTACCAAAAAAAAAAAAAAAAAAAAAAAGTTATACTTCATTCCTAATTTCCAAATGTTCAGCATGAATGTTAAACTTTATCAAATGCTTTTTCTCCCTCATGTGAGTTGATGACCATGTCCCTTCCAGCTTTACTCTATTAGTACACGATAAATTACATTAATCCCTAAACAATCTTGCATTAGTGAGATAAAACTAACTTAGTTGTGATATTATCTTATACACTTCTAGGTTCAGTTTACTAATCTTTACTTGGGGAATTTTGCTAGTCATGAGTGGCACAGCCATCTTTTAAAGGATGCAAAAGGGAACAGACAGATAAAAGAAAACTTTAGGTACTGTTTCAAATTCCATGGTGTTTCACTGCCATCTTGTGGCAGGAAACAATACCAACAAGTACATAGCTTTAAAACTTAGCCCAAGGTGTTTTTCACTATTTATCATCTAGTGAAGTTCCTGAGAGAAAGCCAGAGACAAATTCCACCTAAATGATTCACAAAAAAGTAGTGGAAAATCAGAGAGCCCTTCCCATTTGCCAGTGGTTGAATTCCTGGATTACTTCTGAGAGGCAAGCTCATTAGATAGGGAATTTCTATTTTAGCCTGGTCAAGACTCAACCAATTTCATTATACAAGGTCAAGAAGATGTCAACAGAGAATGCTAATCTCTGCTAGAAAAATTAAATCAAAGGGCTGGGGATATAACTTAGTGGCACCGTGCCTGCCTGGCAAGCACAAGGTCCTGAGTTCAATCCCCAGTCCAAAAAAAAAAAAGAAAGAAAAAGAAAAATTACCTCAGCCATTTGTCAGAAGCACACAGATCAAGCTATGTTTCCTTGTTCTTCTTTCTTTAGTGCCAATGATTTAGTTTTTAAGGGATCAGTGAATGGAGAAAGTTTGTTAATAGGAAGTGCTAGCAAGGTGTGGTGGTACATGCCTATAATCCCACCACTTGAGAAGCTAAGGCAAGGGAACCACCATGAGTTTGAGGTCAGCCTGAACTACACGGTGAAATTCTCAAAATAGCAAAAAAAAAAAAAAAAAAAGTGGGACGTGGTAAAATGGTTTAGCTCTTACATAGTTCTATAAGAATAGTTTGATTTGCTCATTGGAATTACAAATTTTTTCAGAAAGAGTTTCCTCAAGAGGAAGTTTACCATTCTGAAACTGTGTCTCTACTCGCAGGTACTGCCGGAGCAGATCCATCACCACAGCTTTCATGTGGCCTCGGATGCCACTTCGGTATCTAGGCAGATAGAAAAAGTCTCCAATGAAAAAACTGACAGGCCAACACTATTAAATAATAAACCCCCAGGCCAAATTTACTTTCTAGACTTTCCCCTGAATGGCTTTTCACCTGAATATACAGCAGGATATGGGCAAGCCTAGAATCAATGAAGCAGATGAATTTAAATCCCAAGCCTAAAAATAATCTCACTATAGATGAGGTCTTTTATAAAGGAGGAGAGGGAGAGGAGAGGGAGAAGGAGAGGGAGAGGGAGAGGGGAGGGGAGGAGAAGGGAGGAGAAGGGAGGGGAGAGGAGAGGAGAGGGGAGGAGGGGAGAGGAGAGGAGCCCAAAAACTTTATAGCTCTACCTAACATCATGATTCAGTTCCAATTGCTAAGTAGAAATTACTGTCACACCCTTGAAATGGCACAGAGATTTCTGATAAATTTCTAAGTACAATATCATAAAGTTAATACTCTATGGATACTCCTTTAGTCCACGTGGCTCTTTACATTGAAAAGAACAAATGTCATGCTAGGTCCTGTATTAGAAGAAAAATTAGGATCTTCATCAAAGAAAACAATGGAACAGCTCTGCCTTAATGATGAATGAAAAAAATATTAAGAAATCACCAGAAATACTGAGTATGAGTTAGGTCCCAATCCTAAGATACTTTAAAAATGTAAGTACCTTCTGAGGTATAAAGTGTTTTCTATTTTCTCAAAGTCAGACCTGAGGGAATACTCTTCATGACCATCTCAAAGAAAGGAAGATGGTGGCATGGAAAGGACAGGAATATGGAGCTACACATAATTACCTCTGTACTAGCTGAACAATGCTCTGAGTATTCATAAAGAAAACTTCCCGTTCAGATTTCCGGTTCAATGTAGCTGCATGACTATCTAGGATGTTTGCAATCTAAGGCATAAGAAAGGAAAGTAAATAAATAAAGCCCAGTCTAACAAAGGAACCGAAGCATCAGCCTCTACAGCACCATTACTAGGAAACTTCTTAAGTAAAACAATTTCTGCCTCTAACATGTTGGCAGCAGCTGGAAGTCATTGGGCATAGTTAGGGACTTACACTATAATAAGCAAGCAACTTTTGGTTCTTTTGACTCTTTCCCCAATGGAATCATGACAACATCACAAAAACTACCAAATGTAAATCCAATTTTACTCCTCACTTGCCCACCTTCACTCCCTATATAAATCTAATTTACAGGCAAAGTGGATGGGAATGTAGCTTAATGACAGAGCACTTGCCTAGTATGCATGAGGCCCTGGGCTTAACCGCAATTACCACAAAGAAAAAAAGAAAAATTGGGGAGGGGAAGGTCAAAATATAGGCACGATTTACGAATACTGCTAAGGAAATAAAGAAGTCTCTGATATTAAACTATCAGTATATCTCCATCTTTGTATTTATAAACATATCTCTAATTAGAGATCAGCCCTAAGAACAAAGTTACACAAAGTACACAGCCAAAGCATGCTTTTATCATACAAGATGTTTTATATTTCATATATATTGCTTTTATTATTGGGCTCATATCCTAAGGCAGTTTTGTGAAGGGTGTGATGCTTAAAATTGTAAAAGCCAACATCCAGACAATAAAGAGGATTCAAACAACATGGATTACCACAACATGACCTCAAGTGGTAGCCAGTGGAAAATAATGGTGCTGCCCAATAAATACCTGCTGGCTGGGAAACTGACAGAGGACTGAAGTGATGTTGCTAGCATACTGAGCCATTTCCTTCTTGATTGACTTCTCCACATTGAGGGGGATACGGCCAGAGACGCTGGTCATGATATCTTGCAACTCTAGGAGAGGCAGAGAGGGATCTCTGAGGGTCTTCATCAACCGCTCTACCCAGTCTTTTACCTGAGAAAAAACAGAAAATACAATCTAAAGTTTTACTCTCCCAAATAAAATGAGATACCTGAATTCACTATCACATAATATGTACTTTAATATCCCAGAGTAGCTGGGCATGGTGGTGCATGCCTGTAGTCCCAGCACTCAGGAGACTGAGGCAGGAGGATCATCCTGAGTTTGAGGCCAGCCTGGACTACACAGTGAGTTCAAGGCCGGCCTAGACATACAGCAAGACCTTGCCTCAAAAACAAAAAAGCAAAAAGTATATATATATATATATATATATATATTGCAGAGTAAGCATCAAACTTTGGCTTTATTCTCTGTTTTAAAAAGGAGTAATCCCAACTAAACATGAAATGTATGACACAAAGCTAAGAAGGATTTAAAGACTCTGAATCCTACAACTAAAGGAGGGAGAATTCTAGGCCAAACAGCTTTTTCCTATCCCTATAAGAATCTTCAAGAGTCTTTAAACTATTTTGCAGAATAGGCAACCCACTTATACATCCCTTTCCCAAGAGAGATGATTCATACCCTGCTGCTAAAGAAAGGATCTGGAAGGCAATATCCATTCATTACGTTGACCAGATTATCCAGGACACAGTGGAACACTCGATGGAGCTTCTCGCCTGTAAGTGCTGTGCTCTGGATCCATGGCAGACTACCAGTATGAAGCTCAGCCTGTCAACCCAACAAAAAACTGTCATTCATTACCAGGCACAAAGACACGACTTCAACTCAGAGCCATCATTCAAAATCAAGATATCTCATCGGCATACCCACCTACCAGGCATGTGGAAGAGGCATCACAAGAAAATTACAGCATCTTACTATTATTGTATTAATTCTTGGCAAGTCTACTTCCAAAATATGACAGACACAAATACGAGGCATAAGATCAGAGGGGAAAAGAGTGCAAGAAAAAAATGGGGAAAACGGAGTACTTGCCCCTCCAAACCACAATGTTCTTTTTTAGCTTTTGAGGGTAATAGTCCCTTTCTTCTCACCTGCTGAACCTTGCTGGGGTTGTCCAACTGCATTTTGGCTATTACACAGCCAGGGTCAAGAGCTGCTCCAGTTCGCTTGACATAATGGATGCAGCCAGATTCTGCAGCCGTTAAAGTCATCACCATCTTCATTACCTACAGTGAGAAATATATAAATTAGAATCTAACCTCTCCTCATACAGATAAAGAGATTGTTTTTTTCCTTTAGCACCTAAATCTAATTCATTAACTCAAAAAGAGTGGGAATCTATCAACATCTCCTACTGATTACCAAGGTGAGAAATTATATCATTTGTTAGAACCCAGCTTAGAAAATTAATGAAAATTACTAATGGGTCCTGTTTCTAACTTTTAAATCCGTTTTGCTACCTTTTGTGATTTTACTTGTTTTGTACTTTAAAAAGATGAATGAATTGGCCTTCACATACCAATAGATCTGGTATTCACTCTCAGAACATCTACCTAAGATATCCAGGAGGCCAAAACCTAAAGACTATTCTTCACTTTTTTTCTCCTTTATCTACCAACCAACCCTGTTCATTGTTTTAAACCTTTCTCAAAAACCTTTTGCCATGTCATTGAGGTTCTCTCATTTCTAGCATAGAGTACTTTCTTCAAAAACCTCCTAAGAGGATTTCCTACCTCCAACAAGGTCTCCAAAAGATAATCATTCTAGAGGCCAAATCTCACTAGAATTTTTCTACTTAAAATCCTTCAGTGATTCCCCATTACCTTCTAGATAACTAAACTTACTGGTATAGAAAATACAATCCTTAATAACCTCACATTCAAGGCTTCACACTGGTTCTTTAGTACGTTTTCTTGCCATTCCCCATTCAACCTTACTCTATTCTCAAGCAATACTAACATATACTTGCACTTCCCAAATACAGAGCACTCCTTGCTTCTGTGCCTTTATACACAGTATTCCCTTAACTTTAAACATTCTTCCATGCTCTTCTTCACCTGGACTTCAAAACTAAGATCAAATGTACCCTCTTTCAGAGTATCTTCCCTTACTGTGACCTACCTTCAACTCGGGTTAGGTGGCCCTCTGCCTTGTGCTTTACTCTCTCAGAATTCATCATATTTCATCACTTGTCTGTTCTGTGTCAACTCCACCTACCATATATTTTCTCTATAGCTAACAATCAGGTGTTATTGCCTAGTACCTACTTTTAGAACCAGAGTTTTCTCACTTCTCAAAGAAAAACTGTAAACTTTTTGTTTATAAAATCTTAAGGTTCACAGCCTGAATTAAAGCCAATATTCTTTCCTTTCTGTTATTTTTCAGCTTGAGTCTGTTCCAGCCTAACCTTCTCCTAAACTCTCAACCATGACCCAACAGTCTATTCAGCACCCTGACCTCAATCTCAGCATAGGACTGGCCAGCAAACACGTGGCCTCCATCCTCCACAATGTACTTGATTAACTTCCCAGCAGAAGGTGAGCGCATCACCGATGGGTCGTTTTCTTTCTCAAACACACAGGTCTTATTGCCAATGGTGATGCGATATCTAGGAGATAAATGGGACTATATGAGCCAATAAAGTACCTCTGGATGTATAGAGAAAAAGCAAAGCATGTCATTCTTAAAAAGCAAACACACACACAAAAAAACTTTATTCAATACATAAATACTGTCACAAAAACACACAGAAGATATTCCCCGTGTCATTTTTTACAATTTCCTCCAATAAGGGTTAGAATAAGTTCTGGTATATCCACTTAATGAAACACTATACAGTCATAAAATGACAATCACCTTTACTTAAAAAAACACAAAGGCAATGATAATGTAATTACTAACCTTTCTTGAATCTTATGTTGCAAGCAGTGTTTCAAGCACTTAAGTGTATTAGTTTATTGAATTTTCACAACAGTATGACTGTTGTTGAATAGTCTATAATATGTTAAAGGAAAATAAGATGCTCAGTAAATAGTTATTTTAAGAAAGCTTTATTTTTGAATGAACATAAAGGAAAAACAGAATATACATATATGTGGTTTGTACATACAAGAAAGGGTCACTGGTGGTTGTTTATAGATTTTTTATTATCCATCGACATCAAAGTAGTAGGAAGACTCATCTTCTCTCCTCACCCTTCAACAGATGTGGTTTTTGCCTAGTATGGTCCCAGGTTCCTGGGCTCAAGCCAACCTCTTAAGCAGCCAGGATGATAGGGGTGTGCTAGCATACCCAGCTTGAAATACATTTTTTATTGTAAATACTTTTGCACTCTTGCCAATACTGAAGTGCATGTATTTTTCTTTCATTAAAAATGAGTGCACTAGGGCCGAAGATTTAGCTCAGTGGTTCCACTGCCTGCCTTGAAAGCACAAGGGCCCGAGTTCGATCCCTGGTACCAAAAGAAAAGAAAAGAAAAGAAAAAGAGTATAGGCTCACACCTGTAATCCCAGCACTGGGGAGGCTGAGGCAGGAGGATCACTATGAGTTTCAGACCAGCCTGGGCTACATAGTGAGTTCCAGGTCAGTCTCAACGACACACTGAAATCCTGTCTCAAAAAAAAAAAAAAAAAAGTATACCAGCCAGGAGTGGTGGTACATACTGATAGTACCAACTGATCAGAAGATTGAAGCAGAAAGATCACAAATTTGAGGCCAACCTGGGTAATTTAATGGCACTCTGTTTAAAAATAAGGTTAAATCCCCAGTACTGCTAAAGTGGGGGGGGCCTAGGAAAATCCTACAAACTAGCAATAGTAAGAGTAAAAATTAATACAATGACCAGCACTCAGTCACGTACCTATCCACTTCCTCCTTCATGTATGTGGTATAACTACTGCCATCATAGGACAAGAGCAGTCCTCCGTCACTCAGCCGGTGGACATCTACTTCCACACATGAGCCATTCATGATCACCACATAGGAGTTGGGAGACTGTCGAGTTACCTATATTGAACAGAAACCAGTAGGGACAAGTTAGTATGTTCCTTCTAGGTAGAGCCACAGACAAATTTCAGTATTTCAAGATACAGGTAGAAAAAATGTGTTAGGAGGAAGGAAATTCAGAGTCATGGTGCTATTTGCATGAGCATCTATCAGCTATGGCTCAGTCCTGCTACAAGCAAATAAGGCTATTTTAGTTGCTTCTCTCTGCTCTGGTTGTTTCCTGTCTCCCCCTTATTTCTCAGTTGTAATGTGAGGTTAAAAAGCAGCAAAAAACATCTTCATAGAAGCATCAAATACTGCTTCAGCTACTCACACAAATAATTAATTTCACTGAAACCTCCATCCCTACACTAAACCAAACTTTTTCTTATCTCTTCACCTAAAGAGAACTAAGTAACAAAGAGAGGCAAAAACACAAAGTGCAGGTTTCTGTGGGGTTTGCATACCTTAAGTACATATTTGATTCCATCATAGATAAGTTCCACATCTACTGTGTTCAGAAGTGTATGAGCAGGTAGGACTTGACCCCTGAAATAAAAACAGTACTTCTAGAAAGATCTAATGGTTTATAAAGGAAACTCAAAGATTTTTGGTTGTGGCATTTCCTGAAATAGCAAGATGAAAAACAACCTAAATGCCTATCTGTAAGGGATTGATAATCTAAATTACACAAAAAACATATAATGAAATATATTTTTTATTTTTAATAATGAAAAATACACATAATAAACTGTACTAGCTCAACCATTTTTAAATGTATAGTTCTACAGTATTAAGTATATTTACACTACTGTGCAACCAATCTCCAGAACATTTTCATCTAGCAAGATCAAAACACTGCTACCATCCAACAACTACTTCCTACTGCCTCTTTTCCCTAGACCCTGGAATGTTCTATGAGATTGATTACCCTTGAGACTTCATATAAGTAAAATCATATAGTATGTCTTTTTTGTGGCTATAGCTTATTTCACTTAGCTTAACATTCTCAAGGTTCATCTATGTTTTTGTTTGCTCATTTGTTTGTGGTACTAGAGTTTGAACCTAGCTACATCCTCAAAAGTCTCATTAAGTTCCCCAGGCTGGCCTCAAACTTGTAATCTTTCTGCCTCAGCCTTCTGAGAACACGGGATTCATCCACATTTTCCTGGTTTTTGGCTTTTGTGCATGTGTTTTCCCACTACAAGGGGTTGCATATGCTAAGCTAGCATTCTAACTAACCTACATCCATCTTCCACATTTCATCATATGTCAGAAGCCCTTTCCTTTTTGCAGTTGTGCTTTTCTTTCTTTGGTACTGGGGATCAAACTCAGGACCTTGCACCTGCAATGCAGGCAGCAGAACTACTGAGTTAAATCCCCAGACCAAAAGACCTTCCCTTTTAAAGGCTGAATAATACTCCATTGCTATATATACATTACATTTTGTTTACTCACTCATCCATCAATGGACATTTGAGTTATTTTTACCTTTTAACTACAGTAAATAATGGTGCTATAACCATGAAAGTATCTCTTTGAAATTCTGTTTTCAATTCTTTTGTAATACTCAGAAATAGTATTCCCAGATCATATAGCAATTCTACTTTTCATTACCTGAGGAATCCTATTACTGCTGTCTATAGTGGCTACAACATTTTACCTTTCCACCAAGAGAAAAAAATGTCCTAATTTGTCCACATCCTTGCCAATACTTGTAATTTTCTGGAGTTTTGGTTTTCTTTTAAATCAGGCATCCTATTGGGTGTGAGGTAATAGCTCATAGTGGTCTTGAATTGCATTCTCCTCATTGGCATTGTTAAACATCTTCTCATACTTATGACAATATCCAACCATCAAAAAGAAAGATAAAGTTTTCCATGTACTGTTATGAAACACTAGACTATACCATTAAACGCAAAAAGCAAGGTAACAAAAAATTTACATTTGGAGAAACCCCATTTACATTTTTAAAAATCAGGAGGTACAAGAAAAACATATCATACATGTCTCCGAAAGGTTACAGAAAAACCTGGTAACATGTACTAACTACAGGAAAGGACAATGGGTGACCAAGAAACATAAGTAAGAAGGAGATTTTTCACTACATGTCTTTTTGAGCCTTTTGAATTTTGAAGCATGTGAACATACTACCTGTCCTAAAAAATAAATAAGATAAAAAACTTGAAAAATAAACAGAAGAAATGATAAATCAATGGTGGCAAATTGTTAATAATTGTTGAATATGGGTGAAGAATATATAGAGAGGTTATAAGTACTATTCGTACAGCTCTTTAAAATCTAAGTCATAAAAGTTTTAAATTACACTATTTTTTTTCTTTTTCGGCACTGGGAACTGAACTCAGGACCTTGCACAAGGCGGGCATAGCGCCACAGAGCTAAATCTCTGGCCCTAAAAAACACAAGTTTTAAAAATTAATTAAAAATAACACTAAAGGGAGGGTGGCTTGCAGAGGAGATTGTATATGACACATTTGTGCATCAGTAGGAGATGATTTAACAGAGATTCTGCGTTGAAAAACAGAAAGAAAGACTGGATTGATAAAAAGGGGACAAAGCATTGAATGAGCTGAAAGTCATGCTGAGGGATTTAGATTTGACACAGAAAAGAAAAACAAGTTGCAGAAGGTTTTAGTGCTTGGGAATAACACAGTGAAAGATATTTATCATAGTGCTTGAGTAACTGCAATCTCTGTTCAATTTTCAAAATTTTGTTTCTTTTCTTCCTTTCAGATACTTCAAAAGGGACTTGATAGAAGTCTAACAACAGAGAAAGAAATAAAGTGCCTGTGATTAAAGTGCCTTAATATGATTAGCTTGTCAGGCAATTCCTCTGGGAACTCAAAGGCTGAGCTTAGTCTCCAGAATCAGTGTTAGAAATTAGTTCAGCCCCATACATGCCTGACCTTCTAGTTGAAAGACTTGTGAGGTCACCCTAAATATCAGCCTCAATTATTAATTCCTGAAAAGTGGTGCAGGTAATACATGATATATTTAGGGTTCAATTAGAGGGAGAAATCCCAGATCTTTATCGATCTTTATCACAAACATCTGGGGAGTTTCAATGACTGCACAGAAAAAAATTTCTACTGTAGCTGGATTTCGGGGTTTTTTTTGTACCAGGGATCGAACTCGGGACCTTGTACTTACAAGGCAGGTGGCAGGACCACTGAGCTAAATCCCCAGCCTATGGATTTCAGTTTTTTAAAAAGCAACCTGTTCCAATTGTAGAATAAGCTAATTTCTAGAATCTGGAGTGAAGAGTCCTAAAATAATTTGCCATGAATTACTACATCTTCTCTCTTTCCCTAGCCACCAATCCATGAATAAAAATTAGCACTCCCAAGCCACCAGAAAGGAACAGAAAAATAATGGGTATTTGAGCAGCAGTCCTGTACTCAGAACCATTACCTAGCTTATATATCCCATAAGAAACAAACGGTACCTTTCTAA